GGGGGCGCACGGGGGGAGCAAGCAGTGGGAGGCAGAGCAAAAGTAGCCACCACTGTTGATCAAGCCACTGATATCCACATATCGGCAAGTGGCACCTGCCCCATGCATTGAGGCAGTGTGGCAGCTCTGTGCCCACAGCAATGTCCCTGGGGAGCTGCATGGATTGGCCCTGTGCCACGCATCCAGCACACCGAACCAGACTGAGCTAGTCTATTTATGTCTTTCTGTAAAAACATAATTTTAGTCTCAATTGACTAAAGCACTGAAATATTTGCTTAAGCCCATTCTTACTCAGAAAAGCACGCTGTTTTGTTGAACTGGGTCTTCAGCGTCATATCTTCCCTTCCCTGAAATCAATACAGGTTTTGCCACCACCTCAACTAGAACAAAATGAGGCTCAAAATCCAATCCCCACTCTGAAAATAAAATTATCAATAATGTTGCATATTCTAAAAATAACACATGGACACCAAACAAACACTTTCATAAACAGCATAAATTTAATGTCAAAATGTTTGAATTCAAGCACAGAAATTAAACAACCCATGATTTTAACATTAAAAAACATCACAACATTTATTTCAAACAGAATTACTATACAGCTAACATAAAACAAGTAGAGTTTAACAATTTTAACTATAACTAAATTAACATCACAAATGAAAGATAATTTACTCTTATTCCTAAAACCAGCATTCAACTAAAATATGCAAAGGACCACAATAGTAAACTGTAATTTTTTTGGAGTTAAATAAAATAAGTTTCTTAAAATCTTCCCTCTACATCATTTTCTAGCTACATAATGTTTCTTCACAGTTAAATAATATTTCTAGTCTCCAATACAAAAAGTGATCCTTGGTAGCAAGATTCCAATCAATGTTGGCACAGATTAAAATATAAAGCCAAGTAATTAAGATATAAAGCAAAGTAACTGGCCCATACTTTGACCAGGAAATGTGAACAGATTAGATGTGCCATATTGAGAAAAAAGATCAATCCATTTAATCATGGCAAGAAAAAACACAAACTTTTGCTGAACTTTATCTTTTGACAAATTCAGCAAATGTAAGCACTTTACCACGCAACATGAAAAAGTTCACTACATAGGATGAAATACAATTTTTCTCATCAAAATCAATTGTGTAGATCCAATTAAATATTAAAACTGCATTTTTAAAATTAAACTTTTACTATTAAAAGTTATTTCTTCAGAAGAATGAGGCCTGATTAAAGATATATAGTTCTTGTTCAACATGGCTGCCATAAGCAAGCAGCACAGTTGGTAATGGGATAGTTTAGATAAGAATAAGGCCTTGATGTGTATGGATGAACACTGACTGTCCTGGAAGACTGTGTGACACTAACAGGGGAAATGCTATTTACTGAGCTGTGAGGAATATTGTAGTCAGTTAATAAAAATATGAACTGTTACAGTGTATGTATGTTTACCAAAGGAGATTTAATTCAGTGAGACACAATGGACTGAAACACAAAAAACACTTTCTACTTTATTTAAGTGCACACATTATGATACCACAATTCAGCCAGCACTGTGCTGATCATTAATCATTTTAAAAAACCTGTTTTAGTGGCATGTGACATAAAACTATTAAAATGCCTGCCTCCCATTAATACAACATTGCACCAGCACAAGACCTTTTACTGGAAATACCTTTCGAGTGAAAAATTTGATCTGTACTTTGCTAACTTTTCAAAAACAAAACTGTGGTTTATCTTGCTAACATACTAATTTTTTCAAATTATATTTGGCATAGAAATGTAATAATTTTATCTCTTGAATAAAGAGTAGTAGAAGTGCATTTTCATTTTGACTAACAATTATTGTTTGCAAGGGAAACAATTCTCTCCTCAGTATTATAGAAATGTGGGAGGTAGGTGTTCTAAGTGTATAGTTTTACTAATGTTTTATCTGAATACTACTGAAAATCTTATCTTTTATTGACTCTTAGTTCACTTACCAGTTTAAAGTATTACCTGTAATACATTTTCAACAAATACCTCTTCAAAACAAAAACTATTTTATATTAGTTGAACAGTAACTATAATATATACATTTTAACAATGTATTTTACTAATCTTTAAAGACAACTGTTTATAATACATATACTGTGCCAAATCATTAACCAACAAACATTGATATTTTATTTTTTAATAATTCCCCTGTACAACAGTGTTATTTTTTTCTTTTTATAGTAATAAATTCTGGGTTTTCCAAACACTCAACTATGCTTTTAAAATGGCTCAAACGAGATAGGGTGCACCACTGGCTGTAGGAAAAATAAAAATAAAGACAACCTTCTGGCTTCCAACAAGCATGGGACATTTTCCGTCCCCTTAAGGAACTGCAAATAATAAGGCAGTTTAAGGTGAAACTGATGTTTACACTGCTGTAGCCTCGTAATACTGTAAATGATGTACCTCTGTTTTTTTGCAAGTATTAATGTAATGAAGTCAATGAAAATAAATGTTTAGCCAACAGGAACAAGAACAGCAGTAGAGTATGCTCAAGGAACATCAGAAAGGACCTATTTAAGAAAAAAAAATAGAAGAAATTAAAAAATGGTAATTATTAGAACATTTACTTTTCCAGCAATGATCCTAAAAGATCTTCCCAAATGTAATTTTTCCAAAAGTAATATTTATGACGGAAAGTAGAAAAAACATATACATCAATAAATTATGAGTTTAGAAAGGTCTAGATCCTTCACTGCGCCCTATTCAGACAACCTTTGGGCCTACAAAGTTCTCAGCTCAAAACCTGATTCAAAATCATCACGTTCTTTTGCACAGACTAACTAAAAAAGTCTGATATCTGGTTGCCAGCCTTTTCTAACCATCAATATTTTCATTACCTTATTTGTACATATATATATTGCCTTACTCTAAACCTTTCTTCCCTGGTTGCATTTGTGCCCCTCCACCTGCTGCAGCAGCCTGATGGAGGGATGCCCTGGCGTTTGGGGGAAGGGGAAGTGGCACACAGCCGAGTGGGGGGGGCCTCAACCCCGGCACCTCCCACCCCGCCTGGGGTTAGAGCCAGGAGCTGCACACCCCCAGGCAGCGGCTCCAGCCCCACGGGACCATGCAGAACAGCTGGGTGCAGCGCCGGCTGCAGGGAGTGAGGCCAGGCTCCTCCACCTGCCTCTCCCCCAATGCCAGTTCCCAGCACCTGGGGCAGGGCTGAAGATGGAGCTGCTGGGATGCAGTTTGGACCCACCTGCCCCAGGAGCAATTCTTGTGGTGTGCTCTGCCCCGCCTGGGGTCAGAGCTGGGAGTCCTGTGCCCCCAGGGCAGAGGCTCCAGCCACCCTCCCCCAGCCCCCGCCAACCCTTGCCCCCGACTCTGCATGCAGCCACTGCCCACCCTCCCCCCTCCACGTCCAGCCGGAAACCTGTGACTCAGGTAACCAGCAGAGTGGAACTTTTAGCTTACCAGCACCACCCATTTTTCAGTTCAAATCCCTGTTAACTGGCATGAGTGGAAAACTGAACCACTTCAAAAATAACCAGGGAATTTATCAATGAAAATTGGTAAAGATTGAAAATGCGGAACACTACCCATAGGGAAATCGAAATCTCACTTCTACAATATTGACAATGACAACAAAATTTGCTCTCAATGCTCATTAAGCAGTCAAAACAATATATGGATTTCTAGTTCTCTACAATGGCTATAAGGTTCATTTCTGTGGTAGCTCATTAAGAGTAATATGATTATACAAAAATTAAACAATATAACCAACTCCTGGTTACATTGCTGGAGGAAAATAAGCCCTGCTGGAGGACACTAGCAAGCAAGATGGACAATACTTTTCTTGAAACAAAAAGAAATGGCAAAAGTGTAATATCACTGTCTCCTGTGAAGACAGAAAATAACTGAATATACAAGATTTCCAGTGCATTCTACGTAGGGAAGTTTCCTGAAGTTTCAGTTTCTTTCTGTCTCCACTACTTTCATAAAAGATATATCATCCTCTCAGTATAGACAGAAGTAAGAGAACGAAAGAGAAATATGTTTTAAGAATTCTACATATATATTCTGACATGAAGTGAACAGGATTTTGATTTCTTGATATATGTGGTGTAAACTTTCACACTTGCCATGAAAAATACATCACAAGCCTGATTTGACATCCTTATTCATGAGTAGGTAACAGTTCCACTGAAATCAAATGGGTTATTTGTGAAGCCAAACACCACTCCAAATGTAAAAAAATATTAATATTTGGACCTTAGGTATTATTACTAAAAATGCTCCATGATTCTGTAAGAAAAATAGGGTTAATAGAGAGATTAATCCAAAAAAAAAAAAGAGTTCCAATTTTCAGAAGGATCGCACAGGTAGAGGTCTGCTAGCCACATTACTATTGCATCATAAAAAGCAAAAAAACACAATAACCTTCAAGAAATTAAGCTGTGCAATAATATCTGCATTTCCTGTACAGTACTTTGCTCTTCACATCTTACACCATATTTGAACAGAAATGTCCTGTTATGACTGAACAACGTGTTACTGCTTCCACGAGATTTTCAATTTATTTAAACTACTGGAAAATTCTTAGTTTGAACTACGAACGGTTTAAATACTTGCCTAGTGACTCTAATTTCAGTTAGTTATCAGAATAAGATTTGGGGAACGCTGGGACATAAAATTCAAATAAGTCTCCACTAAACAAAATAACGACATGCATTTTATAAGTACTCCATAAAATACTGAAAGAAGGCAAACTCACCTTGCTTATATCATTCACGAATCCTTCACCAAAATATCAATGATGTAGGATTATTAAGTTTGTGATAACCAATGAAAGACAGAGATTGTTGGGCACATAAAGATCTTTCAATTATGAGATTATCAAATCCTCATACAGTAAAAAAATTACTACCTGGAAATGACAGTGTTAGAGTGATGATGTAGCCATGATGTTCCCAGAATTATGTAAGAGGTAAGGATTTATCTTTTATTGGACCAACTGTATAGCTGAGATGAAACCAGACACGATTTCAAATGCGAAGCCTTCTTCCCAGAGAAATATGATGGTTACCACTTACAAAGGGTGAGTATATCCCTAAGGGGACTCTTCTACATTTTTAAAGATTCAAATTGTGGCAAAACTCTAGAAGGAGGCAAGTAAAGAGGTACAAAAATATCAAAGCTTGTGTCCTCACACAGTGGCTGCACCAGAAAAACCAGAAGGGATGAAACCATATCAAACTAATGAAAATTAAGAAGCTTAATCCTCCTAGTGAACATAAAGTCAGCCTCATTAAAAATAACTTATTTTCCACCGGAATTTTCTTTAAGTATGGTATTTCATATTTCAAATGCAAAGAAAAGTATGAAACAAACATGTGTATCAACTAATTACTTGGATTTACTCCTTGATTACTAGAGGTGTAATGATATATAGATAAAAGAATAAATACAGTCTGTGATGCTACCTGTAGCAATTCAAAATTACTGAAGGCAAATATTTCTAGAAAGAGATAGGAGACATGCATATAAAAGTATACACATAAAAGTGTGACCACAGTGTATAAAAAAACTGCTAAATGTTTAGTTATACAGAATCTTCTAGGATTTGTTAATGGTTCAGTTTTAAAGGTTAAGAGTACTAATTATTAGGAGTGCAAAGATAAAGACTTTTTGGGCTGATACCAATGGCCGATTATTAATCAGCCATATTGGATGATACCAATCTAATTGCCAATATGCAGCCTGGCAGCTTGGAGAGCACCATCCAGCTGCTAAGTCTGTGGGGGGAAAAGGCAGTGGGGGGGAGGCAATTCAAGGCCTCCATGGTGAGTAAAAAAGTAGGGCTGGGGCAGGGGAGCCACAGGCGGCTCATCTGGGAGGCACAGGAAGGTGGGTGGCTCTCTCCACAGTGCACACCCCTGGGGGAGATATAGGGAGCCCTGGATCTATGCATGAGGCAAGGGTGGGCTGCCTGCTGTGGGTTTGGGGACAGGGATAGTGGCAGTCTCTTACTGGTGGCAGGGCTGGACCGGGGCTGTGCTTGGGGTTGGCAGGGTGGGGCAGGAGGTGGCAGTGCTGGGGGGAGCTACAGGAGAGGCTATAGCCACCCCAAAATTCTCCGGAGCCCCCCTCCCAGGGCTGCTGCCGCCTGCCCCACCTCCGCCCACCCCAGCCCCTCCACCAGAAAGTGGCCAGAACATCCCTTGGCCCCAAGCCTGCAGCAGGCAGCCCACTCTTGCCCCGCACACAAACCCAGGGGGCACATGACCCCCATGCCTCCCCTGGGGGGGTGTGCAGCGACAGGAGCAGCCCCTGCTCTCCATCACTCCCCCCCGCGGATAAGCTGCATACAGCTCTGTTCTGCAACGTGCCGCACCCCAGCTGAGCAGTGCCTGTCCCTGCCTCTGCCTCTGCCTCAGCCCCAGCCCCAGCCCCAGCCCCATTCCCTTCTTCACAACAGAGGTCTTGTTTTTCCTGCCAGGCCCCTTCCCTCCCCCACACCTTACTCCCCAGACTTACCAGCCAGACGCTGCTCTCCAAGCTGCTGGGCTGGATTCTTGACCAAATGCATGCAGTATTTATTGACAACATTATCAACCGCATCAGCCACAATAAGCCAATAGCCGATAACATCAATTTTCCTTTTATCGATGCCAATACAATATGGACCGATGTATTGGTACACCCCTACTTATTATACAAAACACTACATTTTTTATTTTAGTAAAATGACAAAAATCAGGAAAATCATGGCTAAAGTAAAAAATCTGAGGCCCAGATTCTGCATGAAAAAGTAAGGCAATTACTATTTTTTAGAAAAACTGTATTACAGTAGTGTCAATAGTATGTAACCAGTTCAAAGCTTCACCATGCTATTACAGAGATAGTAAAAGACACTTCTGCCCAAAACAGATTAGCACTGTCACTTAAAATTATACAACACATCCTATGCAAAATCTGTGGATAGGCTTTTTTTTGTTAATGAAGACAAAGCTCACCAACTACCTATGCGCAAATGCTGCAATTGAAAAATTACTACAAAATTGAAGCAAGGAAAGCATAGATGCATTTTTAATATATCAGCACATAGACAATAGCTTCTCCTGGGTGTATGCAAGTAACCAAATGCATTATAATGATGTTTATTCAGGAAAAAAATCATACAAGTTGTACAATATAAAGAATATTAAATGCTACAAATATGTATTTAAGGTTGCAGGAACATGGGGTCCCTCCTCACTGCTTGTAAAATGGGTTACTTCAAACCCAATACGTTGGTCCAATTAGTTTACTTCTAATACTATTTTTCACAGAAATATGAATTAATTACCACATCTGTAGGATCTGCTATAATCAGAGCGTTTCTTTGTGAATGACACTTGCAAAGAACCATAAATTCAATGATTCTTTCAAAATCTGTCTTTCTTCAACCACCTCAAAGAGACACAACGCTGGGGTTGTTTTATGCAACCATACTCTCCAGAAAGGCATGACTTTCGAGGGCACCACAGAATTTTTTACTAGCATATTTCCTGTGTTTTCTACAGAA